TAGGATAAGAGGGACAGCTCTACCAGGGGCTGTGAGGAAGGACAATACTATTTTCAGAATTAGGATAAGGAATATTCCTAAAAAATACCCACCCTAGGCAGCCTATATATAGACACTACCATTCTGAAAATGACACGCACACACATTCAGATTTCATAACTCTAAGAATACACAGATTATCGTCAGCATTTTCGGCATCTTGAAAGTTTCTGAAAAATAAAACCCCTTAAAAAAATTTTTGGGCTAAAACATTAATGGTTTAAAGCAAGATTTCTGGGTTAGTTTTCTGCTGAAGATCCTGGTTTCCTTTTAAGAGTTTTGGGTTGTTGTTTCTTGGTTTCCTTCTGGTTTTGGATTCTGGGTGCTGCTTTGTTTGGATTCTCTGTTTGCTGCTCCATTTTTCTGAGTTGTCGGCCAGTTTTCGTTCATCTTTTGTTGCTATTTTGTTCAAGGTATCAACCTCAGCCTCTCTCCATGTAATGCTTTAATGCTTTTTGTTGAAATGATATAAAACTAGAGTTGCAAGTTATATGTGAAAAGAATGAATCTCCTTTCATGCTAAGTAGTAGTTTTTTTTACATTATTGAATCTGATTGGTCTTTATTAGATGAGTTTAAAGTTTTGAGTAATTTGGTATGAATAGTCTAGTTAATACATGGTTGCTTTGTTAGCTTTATCCTGAAAATAACCTTGTTTGAAGATGTTTCTGCTAGCTAAATGCTTTATATTTTAAGGTTGATTCTGAATGTTGTTTTACTAAAGTCATGCCATCTTTTCTACTTTCTGTTAAATGAATAATGTGTTGTTTCCTTAATGTCACTTGAGGTTGTTCGCTAACCATGAGCTGGTACCAGCAGATTTGCTCACTAGTTGGCCAAATCAGCAGGCTCAAAAGCTGAAAGTTTGGATCCTGCTATTTGACATGCTGAATCTGGTACCTTCCCATGAGAGGGAGACCAAGCTTTTTATGGACAAATGATGTCCAAAAGAGGCAGGGATTCTTTAGGTTACTAGTTATACAGAAATTGTAATAGATTAGTTGTTAATGTAGTAGTTTTATGTATTTAATAGGTTGCAATGTAATGTGCTGATTTTGGAAATTTTCTTATTTTATTTTTAGAAGACTGTGATAAATTGAGCTTTAATTTCATGTACCGAGATTCAAAACAGTTGCTCTAGGAGTTTAATTATGTTGTTGTCATATTTTAATATGTGTAGTGGTTCAATGGGCCAGGCTGTGAGCCCAATCCGTAAGGGTAAAAGGGCTGTCCTCTGATTCAAGTGGGCTCAATTTGTGAGTAAGCCCAGATAAAAAAAAATCCCCAAATGAATCTGGGCCTAGGCCATTGGGCCTGGGCCCTAAGCCCAAAAATTTGGTTCAGTTGTAAAAAGTTCTCTTTTATAAATTATGGTATAAATGCATGCTTTGTTTATCTTGCAAATCGTGTGATTAATTTTCGAGCTAGAACTATGCTTTGATCTTTAAATTCTGATTTTACTTAAAAGCAAATTGAAATTTAATAATTGTGAATGTGTGAGTATGGTTAGTTCAGATGTAGAGGTGGATAGGCCTAGCTAGAAAATAAGTAGCAACTGGGCCCGTCTAATATAAGCCCAACATGGGCCAGTCTTTGGTTAAAATCGGACTCAGCAAGAGTCTTTGAGCCTCTTCACTTCTGGGCCAAGCTCCAGCCCAATACAGCTTCAAAATTGATTATCGACCTTTAAATAAATAAGTAATGGGCCATTGCTGGCCCAAACCCCTTTTCAAAAATTGATTAAAAAGCCTAGCATTTCACCTTAAGCATGTCCATGATTAAAAGCTTCTTAGTGAATTTCAAATTAGGTTTAAATATGAGTATCCTTAGTTTTGCTTAGTGAAATACAAATCTTGTAAAACAAATCGAGATGTGTCATTCACAATCGAATCACTTAAATCTATGACCCTCATATTAGTATTATAACTTAGTATAGAAAACATTTTTATAACATTCGTACCTTGCTTCAGGCGTGTTTATAATAAAATCATCACAACTACGGGTATGGTTCCCGTGATAGTTGTGATACCTAATTTCCCAAATCCGGGGTACATTTATGTGATCCGGCCACAACTTTTAATAACTTTAATAAATTAAACATATTGTAGATCGTGGGTACGATTCCCGTGACATGGTCCGCAATGTGTAACAATAATTCCTTTAAAAGCGGCTCTAAGTTAAAAAATGCACAATAGCTTTAAAACGTGTAGTAAATCAGATAATAGGCAAATTATTAATAGTTTAAGCGACCGTGCTAGAACCACGGAACCCGGGAATGCCTAACACCTTCTCCCAGGTTAACATAATTCCTTACTTAGAATTTCTGGTTCGCAGACTTTTAAAATAAAGTCAAAATTTTGTCGATTTGGGATTTTAAAATAAACCGGTGACTTGGGACACCAAATAAACTATTCCAAGTGGTGACTCTGAAGAATTAATTTTAATAATCTCATTTCGATTAATGTCACTTAAATTGAAAAAAACTCTCTTATACCCCCTCGGGTGTGTAAAAAGGAGGTGTGACAACGACATCTTCAAAAACAATATGAAGTGTTGTTGTACTAATGAGAAAGAGAATCCAACACTAGAGAAAGCACCAACAATTAAATATATGGAAATGGCGGAAAGGGTTATGACCCCAATGGTACCTGCAGACGTGGAGAGGGCTTATGAGGAAGAAAATCCAAAAGGAAATGTTGAGAAGAAGAAATGGACAGTAACGGAGAGGGTTATGACCTCAGAAATCGAGAGCGCTGATGAGGAAGAGAATTCAGAAGAACCAGCAGAAAATGTTAAGAAGAAGAAAGGGACAGTTGCGGATACGACCCCAAAAATTGAGAGCACTGATGAGGAAAAGAATCCAGAGGATCTACTGACAAATGTTGAGAAGAAGAAAAGGAAAATAGGGGATAAGGTTCAGACCCCAAGGATAGCTGTAGAAGGGAAGACCGCTAATGAGGAGGAGAATCCAATAGTAGAGGAAACACTAGAAATGGTTGAGAAGAATAAATGGGAATAGGTGGGGAGGGTTACCACCATCTTCAAAAACAATATGAAGTGTTGTTTTACTAATGAGAAAGATAATGCAACACCAGAGAAAGCACCAACAATTAATGAATTGGAAATGGCGGAAAGAGTTATAACCCTAATGGTACCTGCAGACGTGGAGAGGGCTGATGAGCAAGAGAATCCAAAGGAACCAGCAGGAACTGTTGAGAAGAAGAAAGGGACAGTAGCGGAGAGGGTTATGACCTCAGAAATTGAGAGCACTGATGAGGAAGAGAATTCAGAGGAACCAGCAGGAAATGTTGAGAAGAAAAAAGGGACATGAGCGGATACGACCCCAGAAATCGAGAGCGCTGACGAGGAAGAGAATCCAGAGGATCTACCAACAAATGTTGAGAAGAAGAAAAGGAAAATAGGGGAGAATGTTCAGACCCCAAGGATAGCTGCAGAAGGAAAGGGCGCTAATGAGGAGGAGAATCCAACAGCGGACGAAACACTAGCAAAGGTTGAGAAGAATAAAGAGGAAAAGGTGGGGAGGGTTACGACCATATTCAAAAACAATATGAAGTATTGTTTTACTAATGAGAAAGAGAATCCAACACCATAGAATGCCCAGCAATTAAAGATCTAAAAATGGCATAAAGGGTTATGAACCCAATGGTACCTACAGACGTGGAGAGGGCTAATGAGGAATAGAATCAAGAGGAACCGACAGGAAATGCTGAGAACTAAAAAGGGACAGTAGCGGAGATGGTTATGACCTCAGAAATCGAGAGCGCTGACGAGGAAAAGAATTCAGAGGAACCAGCGGAAATGTTGAGAAGACGAAAGGGCTAGTACCGGATACGACCTCAGAAATTGAGAGCGCTGATGAGGAACAGAATCCAAAGGATCTACCAACAAATGTTGATAAGAAGAAAATGAAAATAAGGAGAAGGTTCAGACCCCAAGGGTAGCTGTAGAAGAGAATGGCGCTAATGAGGAGGAGAATCCAACAGCAGAGGAAGCAGTAGCAAAGGTTGCGAAGAAGAAAGGGGAAAAGGTGGGGAGGGTTACGACCATCTTTAAAAATAATATGAAGTGTTGTTTTACTAATGAGAAAGAGAATCCAACACCAGAGAAAGCAGCAGCAATTATAGATTTGGAAATGGCGGAAAGGGTAATGACCCCAATGGTACCTGCAGACGTGAATAGGGCTGATGAGGAAGAGAATGCAGAGGAATTAGGAGGAAATGTTGAGAAGTAGAAAGGGACACTAGCAGAGAGGGTTATGACCTCAGAAACTGAGAGATCTGATGTGGAGGAGAATTCAGAGAAACCAGCAAGTAATGTTGAGAAGAAGAAAGGGAAAGCAGCGGATACGTCCCTAGAAATCGAGAGCGCTGATGAGGAAGAGAATCCAGAGGATCTACCAACAAATTTTGAGAAGAAGAAAAGGAAAATAGGGGAAAAGGTTCAGACCCCAAGGATAGATGCAGAAAGGAAGGGCGCTAATGAGGAGGAGAATCCAACAGTAGAGGAAACAATAACAAAGGTTGAGGAGAATAAAGGAGAAAAAGTGCGGAGGGTTACGACCATATTCAAAAACAATATTAAGTGTTGTTTTACTAATGAGAAAGAGGATCCAACACCAGAGAAAGCACCAGCAATTAAAGATTTGGAAATGGCATAAAAGGTTATGACCCCAATGGTACCTGCATACGTGGAGAGTGCTGATGCGGAATAGAATCCAGAGGAACCAGCAGGAAATGTATAGAAGAAGAAAGGGATAGTAGCGGAGAGGGTTATGACCTCAGAAATCGAGAGCGCTGATAAGGAAGATAATTCAGAGGAATGAGCAGAAAATTTTGAAAAGAAGAAAGGGACAGTAGCGGTACGACCCCAAAAATCAAGAGCGCGGATGAGGAAGAGAATCGAGAGCATCTACCTACAAATGTTGAGAAGAAGAAAAGAAAAATGGGGGAGAAGGTTCACACCCCAAGGATAGCTGCAGAACGGGAGGGCGCTAATGAGAAGGAGAATCCAACAGCAGAGGAAACACTAGCAAAGGTTGAGAAGAACAAAGAGAAAAAGATGGGGAGGGTTACGACCATGTTCAAAAACAATATGAAGTGTTGTTTTACTAATGAGAAAGAGAATCCAACACCATAGAAAGCACCAGCAATTAAAGTTTTGAAAATGGAAGGGTTAGGAACCCAATGGTACCTACAAACGTGGAGAGGGATTATGAGGAAAAGAATCAAGAGGAACCAGTAGGAAATGTTGAGAAGATAAAAAAGACTGTAGCGGAGAGGGTTATGACCTCAGTAATCGAGAGCGCTGACGAGGAAGAGAATTCAGAGGAACCGGCAGGAAATGTTGAGAAGAAGAAAGGGCATGTAGCAGATACGACCTCACAAATCAAGAGCGCTGATGAGGAACAGAATCCAGAGGATCTACCAACAAATGTTGAGAAGAAGAAAAGGAAAATAGGAGAGAAGGTTCAAACCCCAGAATAGCAGCAGAACGTAATGGCGTTAATGAGGAGGAGAATCCAATAGTAGAAGAAACACTAGCAAAGGTTGAGAAGAATAAAGGAGAAAAAGTGGGGAGGGTTACGACCATATTCAAAAACAATATGAAGTGTTGTTTTACTAATGAGAAATATAATCCAACACCAGAGAAAGCACCAGCAATTAAATATTTGGAAATGGCATAAAAGGTTATGACCCCAATGGTACCCGCATACGTGGAGAGTGTTGATGAGGAATAGAATTCAGAGGAACCAGCAGGAAATGTTGAGAAGAAGAAAGGGATAGTAGCGGAGAGGGTTATGACCTCAGAAATCGAGAGCGCTGATGAGGAAGAGAATTCATAGGAACCAGCAGAATATGTTGAGAAGAAGAAAGGGACAGCAGCGGAAACGACCCAAAAAATCGAGAGCACGGATGAGGAAGAGAATCCAGAGGATCTACCTACAAATGTTGAGAAGAAGAAAAGAAAAATGGGGGAGAAGGTTCAGACCCCAAGGAGAGCTGCAGAGGGGAAAGGCGCTAATGAGGAGGAGAACATTACAGTAGACGAAACACTAGCAAAGGTTGAGAAGAATAAAGCAAAAAAGGTGGGGAGGGTTACGACCATATTCAAAAACAATATGAATTGTTGTTTTACTTATGAGAAAGAGAATCCAATACCATAGAAAGCACCAGCAATTAAAGATTTGAAATAGCATAAAGGGTTATGAACCCAATGGTACCTACAGACGTGGAGAGGGCTGATGAGGAAGAGAATCAAGAGGAACCGGCAGGAAACGCTAAGAAGAATAAAGGGACAGTAGCAGAGAGGGTTATGACCTCAGAAATCGAGAGCGCTGACGAGGAAAAGAATTGAGAGGAACCAGCAGGAAATGTTAAGAAGACGAAAGGGCCAGTAGCGGATACGACCTCAGAAATCGAGAGCGCTGATGAGGAACAGAATCCAGAGGATCTACCAACAAATGTTGAGAAGAAGTAAAGGAAAATGGGGGAGAAGGTTCAAACCCCAAGGATAGCAGCAGAAGGGAATGGCCCTAATGAGGAGGACAATCCAACAGCAGAGGAAACACTAGCAAAGGTTGAGAAGAATAAAGGGGACAAAGTGGGAAGGGATACGACCATATTAAAAAACAATATGAATTGTTGTTTTACTAATGTTAAAGAGAATCCAACACCAGAGAAGGCACCAACAATTAATGATTTGGAAATGGCAGAAAAGGTTATGACTCGAATGGTACCTGCATACGTGGAGAGGGCTGATGAGGAAGATAATCCAGAGGAACCAGCAGGAAATATTGAGAAGAAGAAAGGGACAATAGCGGAGAGGGTTTTGACCTCAGAAATCGAGAGCGCTGATAAGGAAGAGAATTCAGAAGAACCAGCAGAAAATGTTGAGAAGAAGAAAGGGGCAGTTGCGGATACGACCCCAGAAATCGAGAGCGCTGATGAGGAAGAGAATCAAGAGGATCTTCCAATAAATGTTGAGAAGAAGAAAAGGAAAATGGGGGAGAAGGTTCAGACCCCAAGGATAGCAGCAGAAGGGAATGACGCTAATGAGAAGGAGAATCCAACAGTAGAGGAAAGTTTAGAAGAATAAAGGGGAAAAGGTGGGGAGCGTTACGACCATCTTCAACAATAATATGAAGTATTCTTTAACTTATGTGAAAGAAAATCCAACACCAGAGAAACCACCAGCAATTTAATATTTGGAAATGGCATAAAAGGTTATGACCCCAATGGTACCTGCATACGTGGAGAGTGTTGATGAGGATCAGAATTCAAAGGAACCAGTAGGAAATGTTGAGAAGAAGAAAGGGACAGTAGCGGAGAGGGTTATGACCTCAGAAATCGAGAGCGCTGATGAGGAAGAGAATTCATAGGAACCAGCACAAAATGTTGAGAAGAAGAAAGGGACAGCAGCGGATACGACCCCAAAAATCGAGAGCACGGATGAGGAAGAGAATCCAGAGGATCTACCTACAAATTTTGAGAAGAAGAAAAGAAAAATAGGGGAGAAGGTTCAGACCCCAAGGATAGCTGCAAAGGGGAAGGGCGCTAATGCGGAGAAGAATACAACAGCAGACGAAACAATAGCAAAGGTTGAGAAGAATTAAGCGAAAAAGGTGGGGAGGGTTACGACCATATTCAAAAATAATATGAATTGTTGTTTTACTTATGAGAAAGAGAATCCAACACCATAGAAAGCACCAGCAATTAAAGATTTGAAAATGGCATAAAGGGTTATGAACCCAATGGTACCTACAGACGTGGAGAGGGCTGATGAGGAAGAGAATCAAGAGGAACCGGCATGAAACACTGAGAAGAAAAGGACAGTAGCGGAAGAGGGTTATTGACCTTAGAAATCGAGAGCGCTGACGAGGAAGAGAATTGAGAGGAACCAACAGGAAATGTTGTGAAGACGAAAGGGGACCAGTAGCGGATACAACCTCAAAATCGAGAGCGCTGATGAGGAACAGAATCCAGAGGATCTACTAACAAATGTTGAGAAAAGGAAAGGAAAATGGGGGAGAAGGTTCAAGCCCCAAGGATAGCAGCAGAAGGGAATGGCCCTAATGAGGAGGACAATCCAACAACAAGAGGTAACACTAGCAAAGGTTGAGAAGAATAAAGGGGCAAAGTGGGGAGGGTTACGACCATATTAAAAACAATATGAATTGTTGTTTTATCTAATGTTAAAGGAGAATCCAACACCAGAGAAGGCACCAACAATTAAATATTTTGGAAATGGCAAGAAAGGTTATGGCTCGAATGGTACCTGCATACGTGGTGAGGGCTGATGAGGAAGATAATGATCCAGAGGAACCCAGCAAGAAATAGTTGAGAAGAACAAAGGGAAAGTAGCGGAGAGGGTTATGACCTCAGAAATCGAGAGCGCTGATGAGGAAGAGAATTCAGAAGAACCAGTAGAAAATGTTGAGAAAAAGAAAGGGACAGTTGCGGATACGACCCCAGAAATCGAGAGCACTGATGAGGAAGAGAATCCAGAGGATCTTCCAATAAATGTTGAGAAGAAGAAAAGGAAAATGGGGGAGAAGGTTCAGACCCCAAGGATAGCTGCAGAACGGAAGGGCGCTAATGAGGAGAAAAATCCAATAGCAGAGGAAACACTAGCAAAGTTTGAGAAGAATAAAGAGGAAAAGGTGGGGAGGTNAAAAAATATGAATTGTTGTTTATCTAATGAGAAAGAGAATCCAACACCATAGAAAGCACCAGTAATTAAAGATTTGGAAATGGTTTATAGGGTTATGAACCCAATGGTACCTACAGACGTGGAGAGGGCTGATGAGGAAGAGAATCAAGAGGAACCGGCAGGAAACGCTGAGAAGAAAAAAGGGACAGTAGCGGAGAGGTTTATGACCTCAAAAATCGAGAGCGCTGACGAGGAAGAGAATTTAGAGGAACCAGTAGGAAATGTTGAGAAGAATAAAGAGCCAATAGCGGATACGACCTCAAAAATCGAGAGCGCTGATGAGGAATAGAATCCAGAGGATCTACCAACAAATGTTGAGAAGAAGAAAAGGAAAATGGGGGAGAAGGTTCAGACCCCAAGGATAGCAGCAGAAGGGAATGGCGCTAATGAGAAGGAGAATCCAACAGTAGAGGAAACACTAGCAAAAGTTGAGAAGAATAAAGGGGAAAAGGTGGGGAGTGTTACGACCATCTTCAAAAACAATATGAAGTATTTTTTAACTAATGTGAAAGAAAATCCAACACCATAGAAACCACCAGCAATTAAGGATTTGGAAACGGCGGAGAGGGTAATGACCCCAATAGTACCTGCAGACGTGGAGAGGGCTAATGAGGAAGAGAATCTAGAGGAACTAGAAGGAAATGTTGAGAAGAAGAAAGGGATAGTATCGGAGAGGGTTAGGACCTCAGAAATCAAGAGCGCTTGTGTGGAAGAGAATTCAGAGGAACCAGCAGGGAATGTTGAGAAGAAGGAAGGGACAGTAGCGGATACGACCCTAGAAATCGAGAGCACTGATGAGGAAGAGAATCCAGAGAATTTACCAACAAATGTTGAGAAGAAGAAAAAGAAAATGATGGAGAATGTTCAGACCCCAAGATAGCTGCAGAAGGGAAGGGCGTTAATGAGGAGGAAAATCCAACAGCAGAGGAAACACCAGCTGATGTTTTATACTTCAATACCACACAAGAGGGGGTGATTTGTGTGGTACCCAATTTTTGCTTGACTGAACTATAGAAGGATCTGGTTCTTTTATGTGTTCCAGCTACTACTGTTTGCAGAATAATAAGTAAAGAAAATAAAGAACATAGATATTTTTACGTGGAAAACAACTGGCTTAAAAGGTGAAAACACCACGACCTACTACTCAGTAGGATTTTTTCAAACTTCCACTAAAATAACTGAGCCAAAAACTGCATTTACAAAAACTCTTTTGTAAACCTATGATTAGCTCTAATCCTGTTGTGGCACACAGCCTCAACTGTTGCGACAACTTCAAGTTAACTCTAACTTGAACACTCTAGGTACCTAATACCATTGCTTCAATAAAAGCTGAAAGGTACAATGTAAAATCACCTAGTACAATTGAACTTGAATAAAATATAGACACTTGGAACTGGTTCTTCTATCTTGTTCAAGTAGCTTCAGGATTGCACGCTTGAATCACACATAAATTGCTTGGAAAATCGCTTTGCTCTTTTGCTCTTAATTTAATTTTAACTTCTGCTTATGTGCGTTACCTATAAAAGAGAACAACAGTGTTATTGAATGGGTTAGTAATTAGAGATTGACTGGGATACAGATGCTACTCTTCTATTGTAGAAGAGTTCTAGTTGATCTCATACTCTAACACTATCCTCTTCCTAAACTGTGTTCTCTTCATATAAGGAGTCTTTCTCTCCTTATCCAATATGCAACCCTTTCGATCAGATCAGGAAATATTACTTCTGATAAGTTAGATTTATCTCCTTTATGTGCATCTCACATGTGTGGGTTGATCATGACTGTGCTTCACAAGATGGACCTGGTCCATGTCTGAGTTCTTTTGTCAGTCTTCAAAACTTCACCTATACTTGGGCCAACAAATTCCCCCTTTTTGATGATGACAAACCCTGTGATTTTTACTTACTTGGATCCTGTAAGAACGCATCTTAACCATCAATACAAATTTTAGAAAATTCACTTATCATCAAGGACCAGGTTAATTAGGTTATAAATATCACTTATTCAGAATATGTAAAGCACAATATCTCTTCCCCTTTTTGGCATCATCGAAAAGTTGCATACAAAGTGTGAGTCCCAGATTTTAATTACTCATGGCCACTGGGGCAACTGCAAGTGCAATCATGAATTAATCATCAGTAATCAAGAAAACATATTTCAACTATCAAGGAAAGATTAACATTTAACAAGAGCAAAAACAGTAGATATCATTGATAGAAGATATGTTGCTACCACAATCCACAATCATAAAGTAAAAAAATATTCCAAACATGAGCAAAAAGAAAGTAAAATACCTAATCCGGGTCACTAAGGTACAAGACAGGTTCAGGTGATAAAAGCTAGAATTCCTAAGGCTTAGTACAGCTAGAGGGTTGGTTTTGGGTTTGGAGAAGATTCAGCATGTTGTGAAGAATTCCATCATTCTTCTCATTTTCCTTGGTGAGCTCATTTCTGAGAGCATCCCTCTCAGATTCCACCTCTGCCACACGAGCCTTTAGCCTAGCTATCTCACAATCCTTGGCTTCACTTTCCTGAACAAGAGCCCTGACTTTACTGTTGATAGAAGTCTTCTTGGATGAACCAGGTTCATTTGGGATGGCATTGACTAAGTAGTCACAAGCAAGCAGAGTATTAATGCCAAAGTAGTCCTTGCTTGAGGCCATTTGCCATTTCTTCAGAGGCACATTGCACCTATCCAGAACCGTAGTTTGAATAAAGCCATAGGGTGTAGCATGAGCCTTGGAGCCATTGATGACCCTGTCCAGTAG